TAACCCCCCACCCCCCGCTCGGCAGGCATTCAGTGTGATCGCCATGTTCAATGTGATGAAGTTCTCCATCGCGATCCTGCCCTTTTCCGTCAAGGCGGCGGCCGAAGCCAGCGTCTCCCTGAGGAGAATGAAGGTATAACTCACGCTGGGTGAGTAGGGGAGAGAGGTCTCCTTTCTGGGGGGGAGACTCCCAGATAAGGGAAGCCGAGCCCAGCCACTGGGGAGAAGGCCCCCAGGGAGGTGGGGCGCACACCTGCGGATGGAGGAGGGCACGGGCCGAGCTTCTAGGTGGCCCCCCTTTTAGGGAAAACGAGATGGAGTCTCTACAGAGAGACGATCACTGAGCCCCGCTCCTGTCCAAGCCGCGGACCTGAGGCGGTTCCGGGAGCGGGGCTGGGTGTGCACACAGCCCACACCCCGCCCGCCGTCTGGTTTGTGCTGCAAGGAGTGTGGTGCTGGGAGCGATGGGGGCACCCTATTTACCCAACACTCAGCCACTTTATTCGCTCATCAAAGACTGACTGTGCTTCCCACACACACGGCATTGTGGGAAACGCACAGACATAGAAGAGAGAGTCTGGACTGGCCTAGTGTAGGACCAGGCACCCCAGCACCTGCCGTGCACGGTGCGGGGCTGCGGGGCGCACGGGAAGGGCAGATACGGTGGTTGTGACGTTGAGGTGAGGCCGTTCCGGTCAAGAGAGCAGCAGGCTCAGTGGTTGAGCGGTGACCCATGAACCAAGAGGTGGCCAGGTCACCAGTTCGATTCCTGGCCAGGGCGCGTGCGCGCGCGCGCGCGCGCGCGCGAGAGAGAGAGAGAGAGAGAGAGAGAGAGAGAGCAGCAGGCTCAATATCTGCAAACGGATGGAGAGACCTTACTCACTGCAGCCAGAGGCCACCTGCGCACGCTCAGTGTCCGTATCCCTCTCTCCCTCACCGTCCACACCTGCCCCCGAGGGCCCTGCTGACCCATCTCCTGGCCACGTATTCCCCTATTTAAAAAGCTGCCGTGTGTGAGACTGCCTAGAAGGCACACTGTTGGATGATCCCTTTTTGACCAAAAGAATGGACGCCGTCCCGCGACCTGTGCTAATGCTGATACCGGATGTCTCAGACCAGAGGGCACTGCTCTCTCTTGACTCCTTCTGGCCCCCGGGCCCCCAGGTCCCCACCTTCACTCGATGCCTCATCACCTCATCTGGACTATCGCAGGGACGTAGGGACCAGCGCCTTCCCCGGCACTGTCCTCCTCACGCCCAGTCACACGGCCAGGTCCCCAGAGCTGTTAGAATGTCGGCCATCCCTCTGATCATTGCTGTGTCTCTCTCTCTCTTTCCCCCTCTCCCTTTTTCTCTAAAATCAATTAAAAATATTTTTTAAAAAGCTGCTACCGTGGGCGTGAGGGTAAAACGCAGCTGGGAGGGGCCCTCTCCGTGAGGGTGACCCCCACAGGCCTGGTGGTTAAAGAGCCACCGTCCTCCGTGGTTGGGGCCAGGGGACCCCTTCAGCCGCAGGTCCTCCTGGGGGAGCAGCCTCAGTCACCCTCCCCGGACGTCTGGGGTAGAACCGCCGAGACTGTGTGCTTGGAAGTGGCTAGAGGTGTCCTGGGGTGATTCCTGCCAACGGATGGCTTCTACCCTGTTAATTCTGTTTCTTTGATCTTAGAGAATTCTCGTAGCCAGAAGCTCCCCCTCCTACATCACCCAACCAGAAGGCACAGACACTGTCTTGCTTTTAGCAAATGCCACCCTGACGTGGGAGCAAGAGGCCGGCCGGGAAAGCGACGTAAAGAAAGCGGAGAAGCAGGAAAAGCGCCTTCTCACGAAACAAAGGTTGGAGACGTACAGGCCGAGTGCCTCGGCCCCGGGCGCCGCGGGACCGGAGGACCGGAGCGGTGGCGGCAAGTCTGTCCTGCACAACATCAGCTTCGTGGTGAGGAAGGTGGGTCCGGACCTCCAGGCTGGCCCGTCCCTCCGCTGGGCAGCACACAGCCACGTCTTTGCAAGGCCCCGGGGCATTCAGGTTGGGCTGGAGGCGGGGCGGGATGTCTCTAACCTGGCGGCTTTCTTCTCTGAATTTTTGTTGTTATTGTTTCTTGGTTTGTTTTGTTAATCCTCACCCGAGGATATTTTTTTCTATTGGATTTGAGAGAGTGGAAGGGAGATGTGGTGAGCTGGCATGGCCATGGCATACTCAGCCCCAGGGCGCCTTATGTGCCGTGCCAGCTCAGCCAGGTTCAGTGACCCTGAGAGGGGGCAGCGAAGGATTAGAAAAGACAGACAAGAGAAGAAAGCTGGGTCTCGGTGGGATGCTGCCCTCTCGGGTGGAGAGAGACAGCACCACGGGCCACAAGCCGTGTCTTTATTTTATAGCAGATGCCACGAGGCAAAGTAAGGGCGTGTCAAGATGTTTACAACATTTTTGTGGGTTTCCATCCTACTCAACTACATGCACCTGAACTCTATCAAGCCCACATCACTCAAGCACGTGGGGCCACGTGTTCGGACCACAGGTTCAAGCTCACAACTACAGCTGTTGGCTATAATTGTGCTGGGAGGGCCCTGCCCTCCAAGCTGGGACTTGCACGTGGCAATGAGAGGACTGTGCCCTCTCATTAGTCTGAGGCTTGAACCTGTCCAAACACTGTAGCCGCTCTCCACAGGGAGGGGTAGAGACAGAGAGACACATTGATGTGAGAGGCACATCCATTGGTTGCCTCCTGCACACACCCCAGGGATCAAGCCTGCAACCCAGGTACATGCCCTTGACGGGAACTGAACCAGCGACCCTTCAGTCCGTAGGCCGACGCTCTTACCACTGAGCCACACCGGCCAGGGCACTTCCCCTAACGTTAAAACTATGGACCCGCACAACGGAGTCGTCCTCTCCGAGCTGAGAGAAGGTGGCGGCTATGTCAGTGCCGATCTGCAAACCCCGAAGGACCTGGAGCCCACGTCCATGTGGACTACACCGTCCAGCAGGTGGTCGGGCTCAAACGGACGGGCTTCCATAAGCGTTCTCAGACGTGCTCTTTTTTTTTTTTTAAATATATTTTATTGATTTTTTACAGAGAGGAAGGGAGAGAGATAGAGAGTCAGAAACATCGATGAGAGAGAAACATCGATCAGCTGCCTCCTGCACATCTCCCACTGGGGATGTGCCCACGTCTTTGCAAGGCCCCGGGGCATTCAGGTTGGGCTGGAGGCGGGGCGGGATGTCTCTAACCTGGCGGCTTTCTTCTCTGAATTTTTGTTGTTATTGTTTCTTGGTTTGTTTTGTTAATCCTCACCCGAGGATATTTTTTTCTATTGGATTTGAGAGAGTGGAAGGGAGATGTGGTGAGCTGGCATGGCCATGGCATACTCAGCCCCAGGGCGCCTTATGTGCCGTGCCAGCTCAGCCAGGTTCAGTGACCCTGAGAGGGGGCAGCGAAGGATTAGAAAAGACAGACAAGAGAAGAAAGCTGGGTCTCGGTGGGATGCTGCCCTCTCGGGTGGAGAGAGACAGCACCACGGGCCACAAGCCGTGTCTTTATTTTATAGCAGATGCCACGAGGCAAAGTAAGGGCGTGTCAAGATGTTTACAACATTTTTGTGGGTTTCCATCCTACTCAACTACATGCACCTGAACTCTATCAAGCCCACATCACTCAAGCACGTGGGGCCACGTGTTCGGACCACAGGTTCAAGCTCACAACTACAGCTGTTGGCTATAATTGTGCTGGGAGGGCCCTGCCCTCCAAGCTGGGACTTGCACGTGGCAATGAGAGGACTGTGCCCTCTCATTAGTCTGAGGCTTGAACCTGTCCAAACACTGTAGCCGCTCTCCACAGGGAGGGGTAGAGACAGAGAGACACATTGATGTGAGAGGCACATCCATTGGTTGCCTCCTGCACACACCCCAGGGATCAAGCCTGCAACCCAGGTACATGCCCTTGACGGGAACTGAACCAGCGACCCTTCAGTCCGTAGGCCGACGCTCTTACCACTGAGCCACACCGGCCAGGGCACTTCCCCTAACGTTAAAACTATGGACCCGCACAACGGAGTCGTCCTCTCCGAGCTGAGAGAAGGTGGCGGCTATGTCAGTGCCGATCTGCAAACCCCGAAGGATATGGAGCCCACGTCCATGTGGACTACACCGTCCAGCAGGTGGTCGGGCTCAAACGGACGGGCTTCCATAAGCGTTCTCAGACGTGCTCTTTTTTTTTTTTTAAATATATTTTATTGATTTTTTACAGAGAGGAAGGGAGAGAGATAGAGAGTCAGAAACATCGATGAGAGAGAAACATCGATCAGCTGCCTCCTGCACATCTCCCACTGGGGATGTGCCCGCAACCCAGGTACATGCCCTTGACCGGAATCGAACCCGGGACCTTTCAGTCCGCAGGCCGACGCTCTATCCACTGAGCCACACCGGTTTCGGCTCAGATGTGCTCTTAATTTGACATGGAGCACACGGGTGGCTCACAACGGCTGGCGTTCATGAGCAGGAACACACTCAACTCCTGACACCTCCTCACCCTGCGAGGTGGGCGCCATGGCTACCCGGCTCATGGTCAGGAGCCTGAGGCACGGGAAGCTAACCCCCAGGCTCCTGGCCGGGCCTGCTCTTCGCCGCCTGCAGTGCTGCTCTGCTTAAAAGCAAAGCTCGACCCACACGCAGCCAGTATGGGAGGCCAGCCAGGACCTGGGGGCGCTGCCCGCCCGCAGGTTGCGAGACGGAGTCTGTATTTTATTGTATTTTATTTTTAACAAGTGAATCATCAGAAGCCCAGGCCTCGTGGGCTCTCTGCCGAGGACAGGGAGGAGACAGGGCACTGAGATGGCCCCAAGCAGTGGCACGACTCACAGAACGGCCGGGTGCCCTGGGCCCGCTGGTGCCCGCACCTCCCGCTTCCACGCGGGTCTCTGGCCGGGGCCGTGTCCGGGAGGACCCCCTGAGACGGGTGTCCTTCCGGGAAGGCTTCCCCAGCTCCCCATCCCGTGTCCCCATGGTGTGCACCCCGCACACTGCGAACCTTTCCTACTCTGCTTGTTCACTGTCCGCCCCCAACGAGCATCACCTCGGTTAGATTTCCTCTCCCGGAGCCTGGGCACAGGACGGGCATGTGTGTCTAGGGTGTGTGTCCCGGGCCAGCACGAGGCTGCTCCGCACCAGTGCCCGCAGCAGGCATCTTCAGGCCCTCCAGGCGCCCC